CGCTGTCCCTGGAGAGGCGCCGCAGCTTGCTTTCCAGGTTCACGATGCAGGCCTCCCGCCGGACCATCTCAATCCTCATCTCGTCGTTCTTCTCCTCCAGCTCGCGGATCTGCTTCCTGTACTTGTCCTTCTCGATCAGGCACTGCGAGTACTGGGTCTGGGCTTCGTCCCGGGAATGGAAGGCCTGTGGGGGACGGGGAGGGAACAAGGCGGCCGCTTGGCTTGCTCGCCGGACACACCCACATCGGCTCAGGACGCGCGCACCCCAGCCACGTGCCGGCCACGCTGTCCGCGGCCCTTCTCTGACCCTGACTCTGGGGCATTTCAATCTCTGCCTTCCTCAGTAACACGTGTCACAACCCCCGTCTGTCCAGCCCTGGCTGTGGGCCGGGCTCCGTGCCAAGGGCAGAGCCCACTCTCTGCCCTGCAAAGTCGTGCTGTTAGCACTGTTCCCACTGCACAGATGAGGACAGTGAGGCTTCCGGGGAGTAGAAGCCTGTCTGCCGTCACATGTCTGAAGAGTGACAGGGCCTGGACCTGGTCATCTTACTCTAAAGACCAGGCGTGTGAGGACCATTCTCTGTCCTATGAGCCGCTGGAGCCGAGCGCAGGCCCCCATGCTACTCAAGTGCCTGTGAATTCCAAAAGCCTTTTGGGATACGATTCATTTTTGGAAGAGAAACAGGAAAGATGGATTCATGAGTAGTCCCCGCAGAGTTAATGCCACTCCACTGGACAGAACACCCTGACGGACCCCAGTGGCTTGAGCCCACAGCCCCGTGCGCAGCAGCAGCCAGGCAGGCCTGTACCTGGTCGCGCTCCCGCTCCACCTCCTCCAGCTGCAGCATGACCGTGTTCATGCGGTGCTTGTACATCTCGCAGTCCTTCCCGAGGGTCGAGCACTTCAGCTCCAGGTCCTCCTTCTCCTCCAGGTACTGTGAGCAACAGTGGGAAATCTATACTCGCCTCACACAGTCAGCAAGTCAGGGCTGACAGCTGTTTTCCACTTGTGTCTTTCTACTGCCTGGCCAGAGCTGGATTGTCCCTCCCTACAATGCCTGACCTTCTCAGAGTCAGCTCTCTGATCAGAAGGGACCACGGCAGTAGGCTAGTCAATCAACTGAGATTTGCTGCGGACCTACTATGTGCCAGGGTGTACAGCAGGGAACAGGGCATGCACTGCGCAGGCCCTCCTGTGGCCATCGGTCAGGAGGGGAGACAGGGCCGCACTGACACTGACAATTATTCCCAAGTAACTGCCAGGTTCTGTGCTGATGCACGGGGAATTCACACCAGGGGTCAGACCTAGTCCCTGGAAGAGAGCGCGGGTCTGGAGGTCCCACCAACACACATCAGTGCACAGGGGCCCTCAGCCCAGGGCACCGGCTGGGCGGATGCCGCCCGAGCAACCCACCTTGTCTCGCAGCTCCTCCGCCTGGCGGGCCTCCTCCTGCAGGTTGTAGATCTTGTTGACCAGCTCCTGTCGGTCCTCCAGGGCCTCCTTGCGGTCATGCTCCAGGATGTCCAAGATGGCCTTGTCGGAGTCCGGCAGGCTGCGCTTCCCGGCCTGGACGGGCGGGTGGGGACGTTTAATGATGCTGGGGTAGAGATGGGGCAGGGAGCAAGGTGGCAAACGGAGGGGCCCGTAACACACACTGAGAGAGCAGAAGGTTTTGTGCCAGGGACGCAGGGTCCTTAAGCAGCTTATTACTTATGACTTTTATCACCTGGAAAGAAGCATCAAACCCACTTCTGCTCAGAAACGTCCCGATGCCTGTTGTGCTGCCCCTGTTCTTGTCAGAGCCGACAGCAGCAGTAGCTGCTCCTCCAGACACTTTGCAGGTGACAACCAAGAATGGTTCATCTGCTTTCCAGATGCTCCCCCTGAAATAGCAATGTGTCTGCTCCGATCGAACTGGGACCCAACCTCTGCTCTGAACCAGACCCTGGCACACCAGGAGCAAATCCTGGCGGGCGGGGGTCGTTCTGGGGGAAGGGCGGGGCGCCTTTTCTCTCTGCTGCAGATGAATTCTGGGATGTTCTCCCTCCACACCCACAGATGACTCACTGATGACAAAGGTGAGGAGGTGCTTGAAGTTTTAACATGTCACATGGGGCTGAGAGGTGAGTTTCTTGGAATCTGTAAGGGCAAGAATGTCTCCTAGATGTACTTTGCCCACAGCACCTGGGGCACTGATTTGGTGTGAACGGTGATTTTTCACCGAGTGCTTCAAGGAAGGGAACAGTGTCACAAGTATTACGTCACAGAAGGCAGTCTCTGAGAAGTGGGGGTGGGGGTCACCCCGGTGACAGGAGTAAAGTAAGACGCCCAAGGATGACATGAATTATCTGTTGTCCTGCAGTCAGCACGGGCCTGTGCGGCGCACATGCAGGCAGGCTGTTGGTCCCCACCCCGCCCCTGCCCCGCCCCTCCCTCACCTGGATGATGGACTGCAGCTCCTGGATTTTGGTCTTCAGCATCTCATTCTCCCGCTCCAGTTCCAGAACCTGCTCCTTCTTGGGCCGATTCTCGATGTCATTCTTCAGTTTCAGCGACTGATTCCTCTCAAGCTTGCATTCCTCCTCCATCTTATTCAACCGATGCTTGAGCTGGTCGATCTGGAACACCCCCCAGGGTGCCGAGGGGAGAATGCCGCAGGCAGGAGACACTCAGAAAAGGCACTGCCTCCCCAGATCCCGCTGAACTTCCCAGCGTGACCTCTGTCAGGTCCCCCTCTCCCCTTCCTCCAGTCGGTGACCGAGAAGGGCTCAAAGAAACCTTTTGCAGTGAAACAAACCACCATCTCCTTGCTGAGGAAGAGAATAGTTCTAAAGCAGTTATGTCCGTTTAAAAGCCCCCTCAGGCAATTTCTGTGTGTGTGTGTGTGTGTGTGTGTGTGTGTGTGGAACAGGTTACAGATTAGGATAAAAGATACCCAAGCTGAGTATGAGTTTCAAACTCTGATCCTCAAAGTTAAGGTTTCCCAGTAGAACCCTGGTGTCATCAAAGTGAGTAAATAGATGGGGGAAGGGCGTCTGGGCCCCACCCTGATTTCACGTCCCAGAGAAGCTCTGCCTGCACGTGTTTTGGCCTCTTGGGTTTCACACAAAATTTTATTTGAACCAATGGCACTGCTGCTAAAAGAACAGCCTGGGATCTACTGGACTGTAGGTCGACAGGATCTCTGGCTTAAAGGACCTGCCCAGACTTAGTGCTGAAGGAGTGGCTTCCTGGAGGAGGCAGTTACTATCCCTGGAAATGGGACAACTGGAGATGTGCTGAGTGTCACCTTCAAGAGGTATCAGAATTGGGACCAGAAGAAGACCTCTTAAACCTCCATGACTAAGCACGTCTGCTTCCCCAAACTGATCAGTCTTGGCAAAACACTCAAAACAAGAAGATTGTTTTCAAGGGCGGCAAGGAAAGGGGCACCAAAGTGGTGAGTGTCCTATTTCAAGTCTAGGCTTATGGGAAGAATGTCTCAAGAAATATGGCAGGTAGAGGGTGGCGGCTTTAGCAAGGAAGGGACTGTGGCTGTGCCTCGGTGGCCTGAGGGAGGGAAGAAAGAAAGAGGAAGGCAGGGAAGTAGCCTGGAGCTGAGGACTGATCCAGGACTCAGCTGGCCAGATGCTCTTTCAAGTTCTAGATATGTTTTCTCACTACTGACATATGTCCAGGAAAACAAAAAACAGGTGAAAGTCTTAGGAGGGAAAGTTCTAAGTCTCTGCCACAGGTTAGTTTCCCCAAATCCTAGATAAAACAGCACAGAAACCTTTCCTCCTAATCATGCAAAAACAAACAAACAAAGCAAAACCACAAACAAACAAAAAAACCCTCTCCAGCATCTTGGAAGATGAACCCAAGTGTCTTGTTCTGGGTCCAGATCCCCAGTCCCATCCAAGTGGACATGAAGCAGGTGCTTCCTGGGTCAGCTGTTTTGCCAAAGACTTCTATTTCAGTATCTCAGCAATCCTAAGGCACAGGAATTATTCCCATTTTCACATCACTGCCATTTACAAAGAAGGGAACTGAGGCCAAGAACCAACTAGGCGCTAAAGCCAGAAGCCAGATTTGAACTCACATCCAAAGAATTTAAAAGCTAATATTCTTTATAGGAACACTCTGACTCAATTCACCTGAATTCCACTGGATTGTTCACTAATCTGTCTGCTTCAACTAAACTGAAAGTGACCTGAGCAGAAATCAGGTTATTTATCCCCGTGTCCCCCACAGTGCTTAGCACCGTGCCTTACACATGGCAGGCGCTTCATAAATATTCTGAGAGTCTGTTTTCCACCCAGCAGCCAGAGTGGTCCTTCCAGACATAAATCAGTTGTCACTCTCAGCTCTCAGTCCTTCAGTGGCTTCCATCACAACTGGAATAAATTCCAAATTCTTACCATGCCCCCATGATCTGGACCCTGGCCAGCTCTCCATGAGGCTTGCTCATTTGGCTCCAGCCCCACTGGTTCTCTTGCCGTTTCTCAAAAACACCGAGCACGACCCCTACCTGGGGCCCTTGCATTTGCTCTCTGTGCTTCCCCTGAGACTTGCTTGGCTGGCTTCTTCCCTTTCTGCAGATCTCTGCTCTTGTGTCCCCTTCTCCGGAACCTTCCCCGACCATCCGATTTAAAAGAGCATTCCTCACGCACCATCTGCACTCTTCTCTCTTCCTCATAGCACTTATGACTACCAGGTATTGATGTATTTGTTTTCTGATTAGAATGTGAGCTCCATGTCAGCAGGGCTTTGGTCTTGCACCCCTGGGAAAGTGCCTGGTGCAAGGCGGTGCACAACAAGTAAAAGGAATGAACGAGTTAAGCCAATTCCCTTCTCTCCCTTTTGGAGGTAAACTCGTTAATGATGTCCATCATTTGGCTACTGGACTATGCAATGATAACTGTATTGACGATTCCATTGTGTCATGCTGGGCTTTGTGGATACAGCTGTGAAGGGCCCAGTCCTGGCCTCAAGGACCTCGTGACTCCAGGGACAGGGGCTGCACCCATCTCCTCGGTGATTTTCCTGACAACCACAACTGTCTGCGCCCCTGGGTCCTCCGTCTCCCCTCTCACCCGGCGCCCTGCAGGGCCCGTGTGCCGCGCGTCTGGGGGATACGGGTTCCGGAGCAAGAGGGAAACCCCACTGGGTCCAGGCGCGCATGTCTGCACATGCGCACGTGGCTCCACGGGCTCCCGACTGGGAAGCCCAGCCCACCGGGACCGTGTGCGCACGTGCACAGATGCACACGGGGGAATCGGGGGGCCCTGCTGGGTCGGCGCGCGCACGCGCAGAGCGGATCACGGGCCCCAGCCCCCGCGCCCTCC